GGGGGACCCAATTGCCCCCTATGGAGGGAGGAGGGGTGTGGGGTTGCTCCCTGTGGCCCTCCCCAACCTGGGGGGCAGGTGAGTGTTTTGGGGGGGCCCTTTGGACCCTTTATGCCCCCCTTCTTTGCAGGTCTTGTTTTTATTTGTCCCTCCTATACTCCCTGCCTCCCTGAGGTTGATGGCCCTGTAAATGTATGGGGGGGGCCTCTGTGCCCCCTGCTGCAATTCAGAGGCACTATGTGGGGGGGGCTGCAGTGTCTCCCCTCAGCTCCCCCTTCAAAGAGGGTCTCAAGGACTTTCCTCTCTGAAAATGGGGTTCCCCTAGCTGTGGGAGGGGTCCCCTCCATGCTCCTGCCCCTGCTGTGTGTTGGAGGGTGGCTCTGGGGCTGGGGAGGTCCCCTAGTGCTGCCCTGTCTCAGGTCTGTCCCCCCTCTTTGGGGGGGGAGAATTGGGGGGTGACTGTGTGACCCTTTCCCCAAGCCCCTTGTGAGCTGTCGCCAGTCAGTCTGGGGTCCCTGTGGTGGGATGTGACCCTTGCCTGCTCTCCCCTGTCCAGCCCCTGAGGTCTCTGAATCTGTGATGCCTGTGACTTATCTGGGTGCTGTTGCAGGGGGCACAGGCCCATGGAGGCATTGGGATTGGGGGTGCTTAAGCTGTGCTTTAGGGTTTGCAGCCTGTCCCTTATCAACAGGCTGGTCTCTGACTCAGGTAAGTTGCTAATTAATGATCAGCTTTAAAGCGTATCTTAAAGCCATGCTCCCAGTTATGTGTTGGAGGTGTGGAGGGAGATGTCCAATGCCAGGCTGAAATCCAGCTGTGGCAGTAACTGTGCTCGTTTGTTCTCTCTACCTGCTTCCCCAGGGGCTTTTTTGGCTGTTGCTGAGCCATCTACATTGTGTCGGATGTGACTGCTAAAATCCCTCATCTTCCCAGCGCAAAGAGAAAGCGAAGGTACTGGGGATCTTTCCACTTCTCCTACACAGAAGAAGGGGTGTCGTTCCCTAGACTGAGCAGGACACCCCTGGGTCAAGAATGAGCCCCCAGAGGGACCTGGGGGGTATTGAGTGGCTGGCTTAGGACAGGTAGAGGTGACGGTTCCCTATAGTGAGCTGTGTCTTCCTCTTTTCCCCTTGTTCAAGCTCTGAACCGGCTGATAAAGGCTGGGGCTGGAGTCTTCAGCATTAAAAGTTTCTTCAGAAACTGGTTTTCATGAGAAGTCAGCCCTGGGTTTGCAGCATTTCATGGTGTGCTCTCCTCCCACACGAGCTGGGCAGTGACTCATCTTCCTCTGAGGACTTGGTTAAAGGAGCACCAATGATTTTGGGGCAATGTGTGTCTCCTCCCAAAGGGAGCCATCTGCTCAGCATTCAGCTCTGGTCTTGGTCTGCAGACCCTGTCAGTGCTTCCTCTGTCTACCGGGGAGCGAGGGTGAGCTGGCCTGGCTGGGTTAGTGTTGTGGGTGCCCCTGCATGGGTAGGGAGGATAAAGAATATTTAACTTGCCTGCTCCAGTGGGGAAGGAGGTTAGGCTATAACTACTCACTAATATAAAACTTTTTCTTACTTCTCCAGTGCAGCTGGTTACTGAGTTTAAATTGGTCTGGGTTTGTAGCTGTTGGCTGTGCTGTGATTTCTGGATGTATCTGGTTTAAGAGTACTTAAATGGGAGCTAGGTTTCTCTGGATGTATTAGGAGCTTTATCAGGGCAACAAGCAGAACAAGTGCTTCTTTTTAAAACCATGCTGGAAACCTGTTTGGTGTTGTGGCATGCCAGTGTCTTGCTTCTCTGCTTGTCCCTTATCAAGTGACTGTCCTCAATTCAATAGGATTTTGCATGTGTCTCAGTCTGCTGCTCCTTGCAGCCCAGAGCGGGACAGCAAAGTCTGGGTCCTCACTTGTAATCAAAGTGCTCTCTGCAGTGCGAGCACCTGATGTGGCAGTGCAATCTGTACCTGGTGATGATGTCCCAGGTGAGCATCTTGGTCAAATAAGCCAGGCTGTGGTAGGCTGAGGTTTGGTAATTTTGCAAGCTGTACTGTCAGCTGTGTACTGGGCAGATGACTGTCCCTCCAGGGGATCCAGTACCCTGAAAATGAAGGAAGGACCATTGGGTGCAGGAGGCATAGTCAGATGTCTGCCTGAGATCATGCTTGTCTGTAAACAGATAAGGTGTGAGATCTTGCAGCAGGATTTCAAATAACAAAGGCATGAAACAATAATAGATTTTTTCATTGGCCAAGAATTTGCCTTGGGTCAGTTAGCTTTTTCACTAACTGTTTTTTGCTTTAATCCCAGTGTACTTAAGACAAAATAGCTGGGTAATCTAACTTTTTTGTTTTCATTTAATAGCTGACTTTGGAAAAGTGGCTAATCTTCTCTCTGGTTAGAGGTGCACTCAGGAATAATTTTTAACCTGCTATTGCTGGGCCAAAGTGAAGTCAATCTGGCCCAAACTTCCTGTGGCTTTCAAAGGGGAATTGCTGAAGTGTCAAGTCAGTGGAAGAGAAATAATCAGACTTAAAAGAGGTTGTAAATGGGTCTATTTCTTCTGTGCAATGTCTGATCATGATGGTGAAGGGTGGAATTGGTCAGCTGAGCTTCAACACATGTTTTTCTTCTAGTTGTGCAATACAAGGGAGCCTGAGTCTGGATGCTTCTCTGGCAGCATGTCTACCAGCTGCAGGGCTGTGGCACGAGAGCCTGGTGCAGGCAGCTGTGCTCAGTGCTGTGAGAGGAAGAGGTTGTGCATCTTGGGTGTTTGATCGGTCTGGCATGAACAGATTCAGTCCACTTATGGCCCCAAATGAAAGCCATGACTGCACTTTCCCTCCCTTGCTGCTAGTGATCAGCTGATGACATGGCTGGAGAACAGACGTGCACAGCAGCACCAGGTCCACTTTGTGAAGGGGCTTTGGACACTCTTAAAAGGGACTTTCCTGAAACCCTGACATGTGAGGGGAGTTAAATCCCTCTTCCTCAGAAGGTGTTGCATATGAGGTGTCATGGTTTGCAAGTGTTTAATGGGAAGTGGGTTTCAGATGATGCCTGTCTGTATTTGAATATGATGCAGGTGGTAAGTGAATAAATGCATGCAACATCAAAACAACTGTATCGTGTTCTGAGCTGGGAGCTTTCTCCCTGTTGCTAGGGACGTGCCTAGGTGCCAGCCAGGGTCTCTTTCCATCCTGTGGGACTATCTGCTCCTGGAGATGCAGGTGGCAGCCCCGGATGGAGGACTAGCTATGTTGTAAAGCAGGCATACAGTGCCTCCTAGATGCTGTGTAGTTGCTGGGACCTGCTGATTTGGATGTCATCAGCCCTAACTTCTGCAGAAGTGGCTCTGCTTGATGTGGGCTAGTGAATCTTTCATAACCATAGCTATGAAGGGGGGTGGTTACCCCTTTGGGTAACCCCTAAGTTGTCTCTTGGGTAAGAGGTGGCAGCGGAGCATTTCAGCACTCTGCCCTGGGGATTGCATAACTAGTGTGAAACAGCTAATGCTCACCACGTCTCATCAAGGCAGAAACATTTAGGGGCAAAACAACTCTGTTTTCAGGCAGCTGGTGAAAGTTGTTGCGACAGCTGGCTGCTTGCCTCGCACCCACGGAGGGAAGGCTTAGTGTATCTGGTCTCTGTTGCTAGTTTTCTTCCCCCTCATGTGAGAACATATTTCTGGGGACTTGACTGGGTCTTAAAGGGCTTTGGAGCTGTGATGTGACTCGAGTGAAGGAAAATGCTAGATTCGATCTGTTCATTTCCCTCCCTGCCATCCAGGGTGCCACCTTTTGAAGGCAAAGTACAGCCACTTTGCAAGGGACGCTGTGCCCAGCAGTGTCGCCAATTCCTCTGCTGCTTCCTCAACTGATTCAAGCTACTGCTCTTGTTTACTACGCACTGGATCTGCAATGGTCATGTTTGTGTGATTGCTTCTGTGTTATAATTCCCAACTAACATCCTTGGTGCCCTTCCAGCTGTGGTCTGCTTTGGCATGATAGCAGCCAGGTGCTTGCCCTGATGCATGGGCACCAACTGGTATCTGACAACACCCAGTGGTGGGGGTGAGAGATGGGCAGTAATTTAGAACAGTTTTGCAACCTGAAAATGAGAGATGCAAGTGGTAGAACACTATTCTGACTAATTACATCTAGAATAGAGGTACTAGAGATCTTGGGAAGACCTGTAACTCATAACTGAGTGTTAGTGCAGTGATTGTGGAAAGCTCTATCTAGCTTGGGACACTTGCATTAAGTTTTGTCTCTGAAGGTGAACCCAGCATAGAGGTTGCTGCTGCTACAGAACCAGGTAGAAATGGCAAGTACCTTTATTAAACAAGACTTATGATTTCTTTAAAAACATTCTAACCAAGCAAAACCCCCAAATGTGTTAGAACTGTGTGAGGTTAGCATTACATCATTCATTTTACATTGACTTACTAACACATGAAGGCACTGATCAGGCCCTGTGGAAGAACCCAAGGTGCTATCTGGCATCAGCCTATTCCTTCTCAGCACCATGCCCTGCACTGAAGGCAGTTTTTCTTTAGATATTGCTTATTAGAAGGATGAAATGCCCTTGGGGTTGTGTGTGTTGAGAGCGCAGAGCTATATAAATGGAGCCTGGAGTCCTGGATGTGTCACCTACATTTCCTTTTTTCCCAAATTTAATGGATTAGCTCATGTCACAGAGTCAGTGCAGGCTTTAGGCTCTGCTGTCCCCTCCCTCAGGAAGGAAAGTCCACTGAAGCATTAAAATTGTGCTAACACCAAGGTAAAATGGTGCAATAAGAAACTAAGTCCACCTTCAGTTTTTTGAAGAGCTCACTGAAAGGGGTTGTGTTAAGGTAAATGCATTTGGCACACAAGAGCAGCGCATGGGGTTGGGAGAGGGAAGGACTGTTAAACCAGGGTGTGAGGGGATATAAACTGCAAGGGGAACAAAAGTCCAGTGCGATAAGGAAGGTCAAAGACACTTATGGGCTTTAAGATGAAGCTTTTTAGCAATGACCTAGAGAAGCAGGTGCCATGACTGAAGGTAGGGAAATGGGTGTCCTCATAATCAAGAGATCGCAGTGTAATTTCAGCTGAAGGAACAACGTAGCAGGGTAGTTAACAGTGCTGTTCTGTGTTTCTGCCTGCATTTTATATTTGCTGAATCAGTTGCACCTCAAATACAGTTTTCTTATCTGTGGTGAACACTGGTATCAAGGTAAACCTCACATGTGGAAGTGACTTTTGGCTATTAATAGTTGGAAAAGGGGTGTAAAAGTGGTAAAACAATATGTGGAGTATTTTTCTATGTATCTAAAAGTAGTTTCCTTGTTTCCAGGAATATATGTTGCCTGCCAAAGACGTTGGGACCTGCTGACGTGACCCTTCTGTATTGCAGCTCTCTGTTAGTTGGACACTGGTGAGTGGCTCTCCTGTCTTAAACTAAAGTCTTGTGAGCGTTAGTTTTGCAATTCCTGGAGACTTTTTGAGAAACTCAAAGGAGAAAGCACTGCCTGTATATTGAATGGGGTGTGTTTGGTTGAAAAGGGTGTTCTTTACTCATGAAGTCTTTCTATTCCTCTCTTCTGAAAAGCTGTGCCCTTTTGTAAGGATTCTGTGTACCAGAAGTCTGCACTTTCCTTTGCTCCAGGCCTTTCCATCCTGACTGGTTCAAGTTGGGTGTCCAGCTCATGTAGGTGCTATTTGTTTCTCAATGCAGGGCAGCAATAGGCAATGCCTTCTCCTGCTTTATCAGTACTCCCCCTCCCACCACCTCCTCTTTCTGTCCTCCTGCTTGGGCAAGAAGCAGCACCTCCTGCGATGGGCGAGGTGATTGTTAGTGGGGAGGTGTGACTGTTCCCTTGATTGCCTGACTGCTGGGCCTGTTGGCATCCTGTGCTGTCTGTCACCCTCTGCCAGGTGAGGGGAAACAGCTTTGGGAGCTGTGTGTTGCTTCCAGGCCTCTGAAGGTTTTGCTTCTCTAACCTGCTGTAGAGATGTGGATAGTGCTGACATGGAGGGATCCTTATAAACAAACACTTGGCTCCATAAATATGCCTGTTGAACTGAAGGTAGATAAGATACAGGCATGGTCTATATTTAGACTTGCTTAGTTTTGCGGAATATGCTGTGGCCTTGATCAGAACTGGGAGCATTGGCTCACCTTTGGTTCGAGGAGGGATAGCATGCCTAAGAGCACAGGTTGCAGCCAGTGCTCTGCCGAGCTCTAACGTGGTGCGCTAGGAAATGTTGTCCACAGCACCCTGGCTTTCCTCGATTCCCATCTTCCCAAGGCACCGGCTGTTCTCCAGTACTACTGGTGGGTAGGGGACTGGTTTTATTTAACTTTGTTCTATCTTCTCCAGGTAAAAGGAGATTTTATTTTTGAAGTCATTTGTGGTTTGATAGCTTGGCTTACAGTGTGCGTGTGGAGGCTGACTAGTTCATGATGCTGAACTTAAATCTCCTCTGTGGGGAGAGCCCTTCTCCACAGTCCTGGCACCTTGCTTCCCTCTGGCATTTTGTCCTGCAGGGAGTTCTCCTACCTGTCTCTAGGCTAAAAGCAGCCTGGAAACTGGAGTTTCAAGTTGCAATCTCACTGGCATGCTCCAAGGGGAGTTGATTGTTTTCTGAGCGCATCTGTGCTTCGTGCTCAGACATTCGAGTAATCCTGTGGTCTACTCAGTGTCAGACAGAGGAGGAGGAGAAACCAGTTTGCTCTTGGTTCTGCTGCTGCCCTGTTCGGTGGCCTCGGCACCTCTTGCCTCCCACGCTGTCCTCGTTGTTGACACTGCATGTTACTGGGAGAAGGTGCAAGAACATCATCCTGGACTGCTTGATGCTGTTAAAAGGCAAATAATCACTTGCTATAGTAGCAGGGGAGACCCTTCATCTATAACAGAAGAAAACTGTGCACCTGCACAGGGCTACTGTGCTGCAAGAGGTACTTCCTTCAGTTTATTCTGCCTTGCATGGATGACAGAATCTCAAAACAGAAGTATGTTGTGATAGTAACAAAGCCTCAGGTGTCCATGACCTTGGTTGTGTGATCTCCACTACAGAAATGTAGCAGAGACAAGGAGAAGTATGTGTGTAGACCTACTTGTAGGAGTAGTGGTGCTTAACTGCTGGCAGGTCAGGGATGGAGTGCTTAGCAAGCTTCTGTTCTGCTCTCAAACACTACATTTGCAAGCTCAGTGTCATTTCTTCTTACTGCAGCCCAAACATACCTGGTCAGAGCAGTTTCTACCTCCATGGTGAGCTGAAATGAAAATGGCTGATCTGGGAAAATGGGTTTGCTACAGCTCTTTGGGAAGGAGAAAAGCAGAAATACCCACAGATTTCATAGTACAGGGGGGCAGTTCTAACACTGCTCATGCACTCACTTCCTGGAGTAGCAGTAAAATAGCTGGAGAAGGAGCTGCCTGTTGAGGGCAGGGCATGACTCTGCCCTGGTATCACGTGCTGCAGTGCTGCTTAGATCTGGATTTACCCGTCAGCTTGTCCAGACAGGCACAAGGAGCGCAGACCTAGGAGCCAGCGCCTCTTAGTCACACTCCCTGGGCACCTACTTCAGGTAAATAGCCCTCCCTGTCTGGGAGAATGGTTGGACTGGACTGGGAGGACCAAGGATGCCACAGAGCTCAGCTTGTGGGTCTCATCCCTTAGGGTTTCTGGTAGGCAGCAATAGGCTTTAATAAGTATTTTCCCTGGAATTAAGTTTTTGCCAGAATTAATGACAAGGCTTAGTGTTGCTTTGCTTTTTTCATCTCCTAGATGAGAGATGATGTGGGGATGTCCTCTTGATTTAGTCTAATTTTGTTTTGATTCTTGTACTGTTCCCCCTTTGATTCTGGTGCTGCAGTGGGTTTGTTTTAATGTGTGGCTGCTGAATTTCTAGTTGTCCATAGTTGTCCTTTAAGCAGCTGGTAGAGATCTGTTGGCTTAATGCAGTTGCCTCTGCTCTTATAAGAAATCACTACTCCGTTCGTGGCTCTCAAGGAAAATGAGGCTTGTAGGGAGTGCTTGGGCTGGAGAGGGGAACGGATGTGTGGGTTGGACTTTAACATCAAAAGCTCTTTGCCTTCAGATTATCCCACTTATATTTATAAGTGATGAGTCAATGAGGAGAGATTGCTAGGGCAGGCTGAGCTTCAGGAGCTTGTACACAAGACACTTTCTGAGCAACTCTCGGAGCTAGAGTCTGGTCCCCTGGTTACTTGGCAGCTCCTGTTGTGTCCCACTCCTGACTGCAGGATGGCCTTGGAGACCACATGATTCAGTCTCTGGCTTCCTTAAATCTCAAATAGCCTGCTCTGCTGCAACAGCCTCTTCAGTGCAAGCAGGTCTAGGCATGCATTGGTTTTTTTGGGGTCCCACTGTACCCAAAAGCTGTCAGCTCCTATGGTCATACTGTAACTTCCTGCTTCAAAGCGCTGGTGAGACTTTCAGTCCTGTTAGGCTGCGTTGAGGGAAGTTGTGTTTTGGGACCTAAAAATCTTTCTTCTGCAAAAAGATTTCTTTTAATGCTGCTTGTTGTCTGCTGGAGTGACAAATTCCTGGGAACCCCACTCGGTGGGGAGGTTGGATCTCTTAAAGCCAGCAGACTTTTCCCCTGGTTTATCTGCCTCATGTAATGAGGGCTGGTCAAGGCTTGTATTTCTTCAGTGTTGACTTAGGGTGACTAAGGCATCGCAAATCAATCCTTCTGTCACTAGCTGCTTCTCCAAATGCAGCTTTCTCCCTGTCTGTGTCTTTCCTCACCCCAACAGATGAAATGTCTTAATTATTTAGGAAATGCAGCTGGGTAGAAAATTTGTAATCGGAGCAGATCAAGCCTAGATGGATGCGAATGGCTTTAAGTTATGTATTTTCTTTTGAGAGGGCTTTGCTTGCCACCGAGTAGAATCATGAGTGCAGACGGGAACTTTAGGAATCCTACATCGGACATCTAACACAATCTGCTTCCAGCACAAATGGACCACAGTTGTCAGGTCTCTGCTTACTTCTGGGAGTTGCTTCAGATCTTGTCCTTTATCTCCTGGAATCTTAGTGAATTAGTTTATTTCAAAGGCTGCTGGAGCAGATTGGCAGCCTGAGAAGGGCCCTATCTCTTTACCACATATGTTACTGCTTTGTAAATCCGGTGCCCTGTACTGGAGACCTTGAATTCTGGACTCTTTCTGCAGAACTCTGGCTTGGTGCCTTGCAAAGTGAAGATGTCCTTATGTATGCTGCTATTCACGTCTAGAATAAATGTCACCTGAGGGGCTTGCCTGGCTTGATGCACTTATCTCAAGCAAATCCTAGACTCAGTCTGAGCTATGGCTGTGCTGCAATATCTGACCTGGTTTTGTTGGTTCTACCTGTGGCCATAGCCACTGGCATTAAAAGGGAATTTTTGAGGCGCTCTTGGTCAGTATGAGACAAGCCAGAGCTCTTCCTGCTCAAGAGCTGGACATGCAGCTCCTGGCACCTGTTCCACATTAAGGGGATGAAGGACTCAAACTCTTTTGAACTAATGAAATTGGAACACAGCTCATCTCCCAAATCTTGGTCATGGCTTCAGGGGGCCCTTATTTCTATATTGATTTTGGTAGTATTCCACAGTTTGTATCAGCTGAAGCAGTTTTCCTCCATCTCTAGTAAAACAAATGTTGGCTTGATGTAATTAAACAGTATTAAAGTTACACAAACCTCTTCAGTACTCTTAGTGTGATTTTTATCTTTCTGGAGAGTGCTAGAACAATTTGCATTCTTAGCAAGAACCTATTTGCATATATTTTGAAATAAGGGAGAAACTTTTAAGGAGTGTGGTATTTGCCACATGCAGGGACAGCTCCTTTCTGTTGGTCTTTCCTGAATTTTTGGAATATGAGAGAAAGGATTCTTCAGCTGCTTTTGCTGAGGAATTGGTGATTAGGAAGTAAAGCTACAGGTGAAGCACAGAGGCAATTTGCAGTGAGAGGCATGGATGATTGAAATCTGGGAAGGCTTTCAGTGATGCTAAGCATCATGGGGAAGCATCTCCAGAAATAATTACCCTTATGAATTTGAAACTGTTGGAGCGAAACATTCCCTCTGACCTGTCCTTGCTGTGCCCTGCGGTTAGCTGCGTGCAAATGTGGCGGTGTTACTTTCTGCCTCTACCATTGTGCCTCATAACAGTGATATCAGTATGGAAATCATGTTGACTAAGCTAAAGGCAGAGTTTCCAGTGGAAAAATTAGCTTGGAGAAATTGCTCTTTTAGATAAGAAATGGAAATGTGAAAGAAGGAAATAGCTGTTAAGACTACTCCTGCCCCTTTTGGCTTGTGGAGACATTTGCTGCTGATAACTTGTGAATGGGTTAGGGTAACAGCACCTTAATGCCAAATACTACACGGTGCAGCTGGTGTGGGTTTAGTTTAGGAGCCTAT